ATTATTTGGTCTGAATATTGACCTGCGGCCTTATTTAAAAGTGGAAGAATATTGAAAAACCAGGTTACATGGTTACTTGATTCCTTGCATATTTGACTCCGTTGACTTGCCCCTAGACGTCCTTACCTGCATTTATGAGGGGACGGTACAAGGTGTCTGACCAGTGGCATCTGCATTCTAAAAATAGGCGTTCAAACCCATGTCCTGAATCAGCTATCAACATGATGTTCTGGAGAGTAGGTGGAGAAGAAGAGTAATTGAGAATTGCATGATTCGATTATCAATAGTCTGGGTTGGGTGTTTTGAGCCGGGCGCGCGCAGTATGGTTCGATCTACAGGGGGATTTGCCAAGGAGCCTGCTGGCGGGGCTATTTGATTTCGATACGTGGGATTTTCATTGCCAGAAACCGATGTTAAGAGAGAAAAGCATCTCACAGGTGTTTCAGGGTTGCGTAGGGGTAGCTTAGAATGGAAGCCGAGCATATTACCTTAGTCAACTATTGTTTGGTGGAAATTGTGACTTTACAGAGCTTTTGGAGTTACCTACTAATTAAGTGTTTCTATCTCTTAAATAGATTTGAAAACATCGGATTAAACACGGTGAGGAGGACATGCCGTTTACAACGGAGTGAGCACCTTCACTCTCTGGGATTTTGTACATAAATTTTGAAATAAAGCCCGTTAATTGATCAATTGAGTGAAGGCGTCAACAGCCAGAGGTTATGGTCTCATCCTTCCGACCTGCCGAAACTGTATGGTTTTCGGATTGTGGGAGCCAAGCAATCATGTAACAATCCATCAAGTTATCCACTGATCAGGGGCGCGGGCAAATTAATACTTGCCAAACTAGGATGCTGCTTAGATCCTTCTCAGAATATATAGCTCAAGATAAGCATACTTTTGTGTCTGTGAATTTTAATGGAAATACTCTCGTACCAAGGTTGGATAATCGCTCGTGCAGCTTTTTGAGGCGAGATGGTTCAATTTTCGCTGGCAGCCCAGCTGCTGTTTGCGGCATTCTGCATTGCTGCTCTTACGCCAGAGCGTATCCCAGGTGCTTATATGATTGAATTCGATGATTCTCAAGTATGCTCACCCTACCAGATGATTTTATGCGAAACCAGAAGCCATGGGATGTTGACAATTGTTAGGACCTATCGAGCTTAGAGAGCCTTGTTGAAGCAAATGGCTATGTGCGGAGAAGGTTTGATAGTCCAATCTTCAAAGGATTATCTGTCCAACTCAATGAAGTTGAAAATGCAGAGGAATCGATTCAACTACTGTCGACGGCTACTGCAGCAAAGAAAATATGGCCCATTTCATTGCACAGCATGCCTAATGTCACGATTCACTGGACTGGAAATGGTACGGAGAGCTTTGAAGCGCGGACTCTCACAAACCAAACCTCGAAGCCATATACCCCTCACGCAATGACCCAGGTGGACAAGATCAGGGCCAAAGGCTACACCGGTAAAGGCATCAAGGTAGCAGTCATAGATACTGGGGTATGTGATCCTTTATCCTTTCCGGTCTAGGCTACTTTAGAAGAAAGAAAGCTCCCCGACAAGCTTGTATTCTTCGAGATGTTTCACTTGAAATGATTTTCTAACGGAAACCAGGTTGATTACAAGCATCCAGCTCTGGGGGGGTGCTTTGGCGACCGCTGCCTGGTGTCCAGTGGCCACGATTTTGTTGGTGACGATTACACTGGTCGAAATGATCCGGTTCCTGATGACGACCCTATGGATTGTGACGGCCATGGCACACATGTGTCTGGAATAATCGCAGCGCAAAATAACACCATGGGTTTTACAGGAGCTGCCCCTGGGGTGAGCCTTGCGTCCTACCGTGTCTTTGGCTGTTATGGCTCTGTGACAGATGATATTCTTGTTGCGGCTTTTACTCGCGCGTATGAAGATGGAGCCGATATCATCAGTCTGTCACTAGGAAGTCCAATTGGTTGGTCAGAGCACCCTTGGTCTGCCGTCATCTCTCGTATTGCTGAAGCTGGTGTTGCTTCCATCGTCGCTGCTGGGAATGACGGTGCTGCCGGTGCCTTTTTCCACAGCAGTCCGGCCGACGGTAAGAATGTGGCAGCTATCTCGGCCATTGAGAACATAGTGACGCCTGTATTCATGCGGTTATCAAATTACACTGTCGACGGAAAAGCCAATGACTTGCTTTATAGCGTCACTTATCGGACACCGTTGGAGGGCTCGCTGCCGCTCTGGGCCCCATCACTGCATTTAAATGCCACTACTGACGCCTGTGAGTCTTTACCAGACGACACTCCCGACCTCAGTCAGTATATGGTCCTAGTGAGAGCTGGAGGATGCACATACGGGCAACAATCGACCAATCTTCTTGCAAAAGGCGCCACTTCGATTGCTTTATACTACAGCGACGCCGGTATCCCTGTAGTCCCTACAGACTTAGTATGGGGCGTAAATACCAACATTGTTGTCCAATCAGCCACTGGCAAGGCTTGGGTTGATGATCTCAAAGCTGGAAAAAAGGTCGTGGTTAATCTTCCAAACTCAGAGAAGCAAGTCAACACCCTCGTCGAATTCGTAAACAGCCAGGGAGGAGGTGCGGTAACAACTTTCTCAAGCTGGGGTCCTACCTGGGAAATGGATATAAAGCCGACGTTTGGAGCTCCTGGAGGGAAGATTCTCTCTACGTACCCTCTCAGGCGGGGCGCATACGCAGTGTTCTCGGGAACCTCGATGAGTACGCCTATGACGTCGGCAATCTACGCCCTGCTCAACGAGGTTCGTGGTAAAATGAAGCCTGAGGTTGTCAAGAATCTTCTATCATCTACGGCCAAACCTCAGCTTTTCCATGATGGGACTAAGTTCCACTCCTTTCTTGCTCCAGTTGCTCAGCAGGGTGCCGGATTGATTCAGGCGTATGATGCGGCCTTCACTACCACACTATTGGAACCATCTAACCTGTCTTTCAATGACACGGATTTCATGCCAAAGTCACTGAATTTTACTCTCAAGAATGAGGGTCAAAGTGAAATTAGCTATGATCTGTCATATGTCTCATCAAGAACTGTTCTGACTCTTGACGAGTCTGGAAAGGCGGCTGCGTTCCCCAATGAGATGGTAGAATCGGCGGCATCACTTCAATTTAGCTCCTCTCAAGTGACAATCAAGCCAGGGGAGTCTGCTACTGTCGATGTCTCTGCGACAATCCCTGAAATTGATGCCAGTCGTCTTCCGCTTTGGTCAGGTTGGGTCACGATCAACGGCACAGATGGTACTTCCTTGTCCCTGCCATATCAAGGACTGGCGGCATCACTTCACAATTCTACAGTCTTGAACGCGCAGACAGGCACATGGATCAGCAGATTCAACGTGGCAAGCTACGGGCCGGTACCAAACCACACACACTTCAACCTGCCGCCTAAAGGAACAGAGGACTTGTCTTCAGATGGCGCCAACGTGCCGCTACTCATCACCAACTACATTCTCGGCACGCGTCTCGTCCACGCTGAACTTGTTCCGTTCAGCAACGGAACGCAGTTGAATGAATCTATTGGCGAGCATAGCGGGTTCCCAACAGTATGGATGTCGCGTGGGAGACATATCATTGATTGGGGTGGTAAACTGGACAATGGAGAATACGCTCCACCTGGTAGTTACCAGTTCAGGGTCAAAGCATTGAAATTAAGAGGCGATGAAGGGACGGAGGGCGATTGGGACATTGGCTTAACCCAGCCTTTTTCCATCACATATCAATCTTGAGATCCATCTTGGTAAATGCAACGATGTTTCCACCTACATATTGAGTTCATATATGGTAGCCCAATTCACATGTGAAGTATTTCGCAAAACGCTCAACCCTGGAAGGGTTTCCCCGAGAAATGAGGACCATATTTTGATTGACGCCTAAATAACCGCCCTTCGCCCACACAGAGTCATTCCTGAAGGGCCCAAAAATGGCTTGGGGAGGATACTCAATGCTGCGACGCTAAAGAAATGGAGCCATCTGATGTGGAATTGAGGCTAGCCGAAACCACAATCCAGATTAATCGGTTTCGTGGTCTAACGGTCATGACTACAGGTTCTGATCCTGTCAGCGAGGGTTCGACTCCCTCCGAGACCTTCTTTTTGCCCAACTCATCAATCAATCAGTGCTCCCGAGCGTAGCACATTGAAGGTCTACTAATTGTTCAGACTGGTAGCGCTTAATAATTGCTATCGCTACTTCATGCCTTAAAAGCAGCTTCTTCGAGCACTAGAAAGGATCGGAACAAACACTAGAAAGGCTCGGAACAAACCTACAAGTGCTAATAATTTAGTATACTAGAAATTGTCTTGATATTTTGAAAAATCGCTTTCGTGTTGATCACCTCCACAAGCTTAACTTCCCAGGAAGTTGTCACTGGGTAAAAGCTGACCGTGCCACACCTAAATGTACATCACGTGCCTCATCTGAAGGAGTGTGCCAACCCCTGACTTCATAATCGGGCGCAACTTGAAGGAAATTTTACAAAGCAGCTGTCTGTGATTAAAACTAATTGATAGAGAAAAACAAAACTCCTAATAATACATCTAAATGCTGAACTTCTTTTCTTTTCTTAAAAATGCAACCGCCTTTGTGCCCTGCTCATTCATTCGACCTCACGTTATTTAGGTCTCCTTTTTTTCTCCTGGCCCCGTTCATACTATATTAACACGTGAATTTTACGACGTCACTATCCCACCTGGAGGTTGGCTGGTCTAAGAGTCTGTCTCTACCCAACCAACCGACATGAAGCCGACTTGACTTCGACGGAGCTTCTGCAGCCGAAAGGACAGTGCGTTGCTCGCTCACAACAGATGCCTCACCAGCAGACTATGCTCGAACCTTCAACTCAGGTTGAGATCGACAAGGCTGTTCAAGGGAATGGACTTCTAGGCAAGTCATTGTGAACCTCACTGGTATCCCTCAGTATCATAAAGCAAGATGCCAACAGCCAACTCTGGGATGTCTTCAAATACTCAGACTCATCAATACTGGAGAGGATTCGAGTCTCTAGTAATAGAAAGGCTCATTGCAAAGTTTCCAGCCCAGCGTATGGTCCAGGACCTCGAGCAAGAGGCCTCTGCTCCTGGTGCTACCGAAGGGCGACACGTGGCGGTCGAACCGTGGTTCACATCAACATTTGGATAGGAGTCGCATTTAGATCTGGGGTTGTTAAGCTCATGTCCATATACTTCGATGTGCGTAGCGGTATTTGTTTCGGAGGCAGCCTCTGGCTGAGTTGACAGATGGCTCGTATCAATGACTTCGAAATCTTGTGAAGGCTCTGCTTTGAAAACGAGTGGTTGAGTTGGTTGTATATCGGACTCTCGATAAGGAATGTTCTTGGACCTGGGCAGATTTTTTCTTGTAAAATATCTGTGCGAGGGTGGACTGTATCCTAAAAAAGGGGGGCTAGTTAGCTAAATAGAATAACGTCCATCTTGTCACTTACTCCTCTCTGTCCCGATCGAGAACGAGATCTGGCTTGTAATTGTGGTGCCTAGCATCTGCAGGCCAGAAAATGGAGCCTTGTTGTAGTAAGAAGCTGTGAGCCATTTCCATCAAGCCAGAACGATGCTCATCAGCTTGGAGATCGAAGAGGTCTCTTCCATGGATGCCATCCTGGGTGTAAAAGATCTTTTGGAAATCGTTGATCCTTTTGTTGAGAAGGCTACCTTGGGTTGTAGGTCTCCTGCCTCCGATCTTTTGAGCATGTTTGAGCTCGAAAAGTAGATCGCCAATGCTGGTGGTCGAGCGAGGAGGTTGGAAGGGAGGATTTGGGGTTACAGGCTCCCAAGACATGATGAAGTGTCAACTCTTGTGACTTGCCCACTTTGTGAGTGAGTAAAAGAAAGGACCTGTGGAAAGGAGACTCGCAGCTCGCTTTTGTATTGAGAAGCACGTGACAACTGTACTCTTTTCTTCCAAAGAGATCCCGCATCTGCTGTGCCCGGCCAGGCCGTGCTTGGCCTTGCACTGTGATTTGAACCATTATTGGAAAGGCAGTGCTTCTCCTCCTATGATAGGCCAGTCATGGTCCTCGAGAACGAAGTGGTGTGCTGCATCGTCACTGTAATTTTAAGATGCGGTGTAGAGTTTTCTTTTGGCAGACAAGATATCTGTTGGTTTTGGTCCGTTTGGTAGTATCAGGCCTGTCCGCGAACCAACTCTCACCAGCTTAATCTGCCTTGATGGGGCGTGTGCGCTGGAGAGCGCACACCTCTAGACCACCAATATCGGGAAATGACGTTTATATCTTGTCTCGTTCTGCCACCGATGTGGTATTCGCCTTGTGGAAGGAGCTGGTTCAATAGAACTGGCCCAACCGAACTGGCTCAATCGGGTTGGCTCAGTTGAACTGGTGCAGTTGAACTGGCTCAGTTGAACTGGCTCAGTTGAACTGGCTCAATTGAACTGCGCCAGTTCAACTGGCCCAATCAAACTGTTCGCCTAACAGGAGAAGATCCATACGTAATGACAGACAACCCAATAGGATTCGTTTCCGGTGGTTTCTGGGCGCAAGTAACAGGCTGCGAGCGAACAACTATTCGAGATGAGGCGTGTCTCCACCACACCTCACGACCTTTTGGGATCTGACTGCATTATATGCCTTTTCTTTTCTTTTTTATGTCTCGTATTTCACGAATTAGCAGCCACATGAAACTATCCCCTGTTTTTCCACTTCAAAATATATATTTCTCCACAAATGTGTTGCCCGGCTTGTGTGTAAAGACGGACTTTTTACATATTTACTTTTTTTCAAGGATGCAAACGTGACATTGAACAGGATTACGGATCAGCCCATAAGCAGATATTTTATTAAAGTTCGGAGATGTCTTTACCCGAGAGGATCAAGCCCTCTTGGAGATGCCCAAGTCGGGATAAAAAAATCCTGCCTTTTAGTCCAAGTCATAGTAAGAATCGTGGCTAGAAGAAGAGAAACGTACTGCTTCAGCCACCAAATTCAATCATTCTGAAGACTACCGTGAGCAGATCTAGCTACGCGCACTTAGGCGCAATAAGGTTGATTCTGAGAAGCGCATTTTCTTGCCTGGTGCTCAGATTTCATGTCCTTGGTACGAAGTAGGTATCCTTGCGGATGGGTCGGTGTGCGTGAAGGACTCTGACGGAGTAAGGGGTAAGCAATTAGTAGAATGACACGCCCCCTGCTGACAACAAGATATCCGGTCCAAAACAGGATATCTTGTGTGGTCCCATTTTAGCCTGCTCATCAATTGGCCGCCTCCAATTTCCATTCTGCCGTCTCCGATTTCCATTCTCAATTGCCCTGCTCCTCCATTGCTCTTGTCCAATTTCTCTTCTCAATCATCCTTCTCAGTTGGCGCCTATTTTAACTGGAATGCCCTTTTGCAATATCAACTTGCTACGATTGACAAGTTCTGCCAGTAGTGCCTACTATGCCACCAACTACCAGTCAGCCCAAGACTGGAAATTCTGTGCCTCAAATTAGGCAGCTTCTCTCAGATCTTCATCAAGGCTCGCGGGCGCCAGAACGGGAGCTTTTCGCAGACAGCCTCCGGGTATTTAGTCGAGAATTCGTCACCAAGGATGGAACACGCGCTCAAGCTCTGAACCAATGGTCCTCTTCTGTGCATCAGTCCGGTCTCGAAGAAATGGCTACCTCTTTCCTGTCGAAATTTGGCTCAACATTTTGGCCTTGTGATCCGACGATGCCCAGTCACAATCAGCTCTTGGTTTGGCCGGTGCATGAACAAAGGTGTGTTGCGTCGCTTTTTCCCAAAGCAAACTTACGCAAGCCTTGCTAAATAAGCTGCTCATTCTAGGCTCAAGGATGTTCTGAAGCAACTGTTTTACCGAAAAAATGCGCATCTGATAAAGAACACGAAAAGAAAGACCAGGTTGATGAGAGGATCGGGATTCTGGAACGCATCATCGGGTGAAGAGCCAAGCTCACACATGATTGCGGAATCTGGATGTATTGACCGACAGCGACAAAACATCCCAGGAGGCAATGTTTCCATCAAAAGTGAAATGGACAATTATGACCCAGAGGAATCCTCGGAGCAACACTCGGAGGCGGACCTTATCATAGAAGAGTTCCCCTATCCCTCAGACTTAGGGACGGAAGTCGCGCAGACAAGACCCAGCAATTTCTCTTCAATCCAGCATGTGGAGGAGATGGAAACGCATGAAGAAGAAGACGAAACCTCCTGTCCCGATTCCGAAAGTGTAATCAGCGCAGATTTAGTCGGCGACGACGACGACTACAACCTAGCCTCTTCAGCGTCCATAATGAGCGAGTCAGAGTCTTCTCGGCATTCACCGACGCCCAAGCAGCCTCCATCGAGACCTGATGTAGTTTTTCGGCTCATCGAGTCACGAACTCCATTTTACGAAGGATCGCAATGGTACCCCATGGGCAACTTTAGTGACAAGACTTTGTCTCAGCTCAAGGAAGAACTGCCTCTGCCATTCGTCAGCAAAGCGAAATACTTCGGGTTCACCTTGACCGGGCCTCAGTTTCTGATGAGGTCAGTGATCGACAATACAGACGAGCACAAGTTCCGCGCTACAAAAGTGAATTTTGGTAGCCTAATTGGGAAGTGTTTTCTATCTCATACAGACTGGGAGAAACCACCAGTCTTCATTATAGAGATTCAAAGATACGAATCTCAGGAGAGTGCCGAGCATGTCGGCCAAGGAGTTTCGGCTGTTACTATAGACTTTTAAGGCCATGTAACAATATGGACGATTCATACCCGAACTTTGTTTACTTTGCTGGGTTTATAGAGCTGATGAGGCCATTGCTTCTAATCAATTAAATCAATCACTCCTGAGGTCGGATTGATCATTCAATAGGATGTATTTTAGTAAACCATCTAATTGACGTGCATTTATCTAGTAATAGCAGTAGTCCTAAGGCGTAAAAAGACTAGGAGTCTTGATATTTCTTCTTGGTTATGTCTATAACGATCGCTCGTCATAACAGAAGATAGAGAGGCCAAGTCCACATCAATCACTCATTTCAACAAGGGACAAAAAGGTCAAACTACATCAATTCATTGTTGATACGGACTACTGCTACGGTATCTAGTGATGTGATGGTGACTGTAGGACCTAAAAGTTCAACCAGAAATCAGCCAAAAGAAGTCAAACCTGCTAAGTTGAAAAAAGTGCTTAACCTGCTCTGGTGCAAGATATGGGGGTAGAATCGTCATTTCAGGATGTTGCTTTTCTGTTGGCACTATGGTTCTCTGTTGTTTGGTGGTGTGGAAGTGCGTGTGCGGTGCTGAATCTTGGAATGAAACAGGTTTCCTGCCGACATGATCCATCAATTCTGTTACTGGTGTTGGTACGATGTCATGAAGGTGTGGCTCTCTTCTCAAGAAGAATAAGGCTTTGTACGAGCGAAGACAAAGAGCCTGCTATTTAGCTTGTGAAGCTCCTGGATTACCTACCTCTAGTCATTGTCCTTTCTGGTGATAAATTGAGTCTAATAATGGAAATGTACTGGGAAAAGAGTTCTTGGAACTCTTTTCCGATTGTGAGAACTGGAGAATACGGCCTGGTTGTTACGATAATGCCAGGGAGGCAAGCTGGAGGCTGTCACTGTCCCCGCTGTGTATATTACATGGAAGCTCTTGTTTAAGTTTATTCATAAAGTCTAGAAAAGCCGCTACAGACATTTTTTAACCCGAGGCTTTGTTGAAGCATGTTTACCAGCGCATGGCCAGCAATGTCAGCCGATGATGTGACAAGTTTGTGGCAACTATAAAGCAACGCGATCTTGCCTCTTTAGATATACACTTATCACCAATACGTGACTCAAACCTGGTTTCCTTTTCGAAAACTAGCGACTGGGTCATCACTGTTCATTCTCTTGTGCAACTTTCAATCCAACTTTTGGTCTTGTTCAGGGAGCAACATGGATCAAAGAAAAGAAGCTTCTGACGCTGGTCTGTATGGCATGTTTAGCACTAAAAGCGGCGGACCATCAAAGACACGTGTATGGCTTCTTCCAGAGATGAGAGATCGACTTGCTCATCCTCCGGATGCCGAGCCACTGCGGAAGCATTGGGCCCTCGCCATGGTTGGAGCCTCATCGACCGCGAGGTCTCTGGGAAAATTTTGCGAAGCTGAAGAAATGGCAGAAAGAGCCAAAGAGACACTCGAAGTGTTGTTAGGAGATGCCAGCTACGAGACAACAATGGCAACAGAACAAGTAGCAGAAGCATACTTCGCTCAGGGACGCTACGACCAAGCTGCTATTCTTCAAACTGATGTCATTCAGAAACGAGAGCACCAACTTGGAGAAGATCATTTAGAGACTTTGAGAATAAAAGCTGAATTAGCCCGGACAATTTGGCGCCAAGGTCTCTATAGCGAAGCGAGAGAGCTTGAGTCTCGATTGTTGCAAACCTGCAAATCAAAACATGGTGACAATCATCCTCTCACCATTAAGATCACAGGCAACCTGGCAGATACAGACTCCTACGAAGGCCAGTGGCAAAGTGCAGAGAACCTTCAGCTGGAGGTTTTGCACTGGTGCAGACATCACCTAGGCCAAAATCACCCAAAGACGCTGCAGGCCATGTCCAGTCTGTCAAAAACATACGGCAGGAAAGGTCAATTGAAAGCAGCCGAAGAGCTTCAATCTAAGGTGCTTAGCCTTAGAAAGACAATTCTTGGCTCAAAGCACCTTGATACATTAGCTACCATGGATGATCTGGCATCGACATACATATCTCAATGCCGCTGGAAGGAAGCAGAACTACTACTCATCCAGGTACTGAAGATAAGGAAGAGAGAGTTGGGTAAGAGTCCAACAATACCAGCCAGTGAAAGTGCTCTGGCCATAGCATATACGAATCAGGGACGATTCAAGGAGGCCGAGGACTTGGAATTTGAAGCTCTCAAGGCAACAAAGATGATATTTGGAGAAAATCATCGCAACACCTTAGGGTGCATGTCGAACTTAGCAGCAACCTATTTTAACCAGGGACGCTTCAGCGAAGCGGAGGCCTTCTTGAAAAGGCTCGAGAGATTGGGAAGAAGGCTTTTGGCAAGTTTCATCCGCGTACGCTGACCATCCTATTTCACCATGCTTGGGCTGTGTGGAGCCAAAATCGAGATGAGGAGGGCGAAGCATTGATGCTGCAAGCAATGGAAATGCAGACCAAGAGTCTTGGGGAGGATCACCCCGTGACCTTGAACACTATGGAACTAATAGTGGACAAGTACGGAGACCAAAACCGCCTGGGGGAAGCAGAATCAATTCTGTTGAAAGTTATAGAGTCAAAAAAGAACGCCCTGGGAGCGGAAAATCCAAGCACATTAAATGTGATGGCCAAGTTAGCTAGGTTATACTGGAGACAAGAGCGATCGGAAGAAGCAGAGACACTGGAAATACAGGTTATGAGAGAGAGTCAACTGGCACTGGGGCCCCAGCACCCAATGACATTGACACTCATGAGTAACCTATACCATGTAATACATGGAAGAAACTGGGGCGAGAGTTTGAAGCACTCTCCCTCTTGAAAGATATGCTGGATGTCATAGATTAAACTCCCGAGCTCCACCATTTGAGAAACCAATATGTCAAGTATCTCAGAGAGTGATCTGGTTATATGAATGTTGAAACCCAGAGATATATGTTTCTTTCAGAGCAGTCTAGTCACCGGCCACGCTCTGATTGGGATGGTGTCCCATAGCGCTGGAAGAGACTTTGCCCCAAGTGAGCCCTTTTATCGACGATCCTTGAATAATTGTTCCAGTTTATAGAATCCGCGTTTAGCCATTTCTTCATTTAATCGAAGGCAATAGATCACGATGGGTATTTTTAGACTCAGAGGACTTAGTATGGTGAGGAGTAGTCAGCCCCTTACCAAGCTGGCCCGAAAAGGCCGTATTGCCAGCATCGTCATAAAGATTTGTCTCGTATCAGCGCTGATAAATGTTCAATTATAACGAATATTTCCGTATCATCATCGTAGAGGCTTTTGGGTCAAGGGAATACATCATGTTGTCACCAATGGTAACTAGCGATGGAAATAGCGTCAAGCATGAGGACTTTATTAAGCTCTTCAATGGAGTTTTGCGAGAACTTTCAGCAGAAAGAGGGGGATTCTCGTCGCACATTTCCAAGACACACGGGCAGGATTTTGGAGAGAGCATTGAAACTCTCGATATAACACAACATAACTCATGTGTTTTTGTTATTTGGTAGGAAGCCCCGTATTTGATCAATTGAATGAGAGAATCTAGGTCATCGTACAAGTAAGAGTGGCCGCATGATGGCTAGGTAAAAACAGGATTTTAAGAAAAAGCTATAAGAAACTGGGCAGCTAACCTGACTTATATCCCTCCATCTGCGCAGCCAGGCCACACGCTTTCCATATCAGGCTTTTATGTCACTCCAAAAGTGACCAGGAGGGGCGGTATTCCTCAATAGAGACATTGTTTCCCTAAGAGTTTTGGGGCACACAGACCCCAGGAAGTCCAGCTACAGGCTTATATCCAGCTGGGCATGGTGCTTGGCGAGCCTCAAGTTCGGTGTCTCGCTTAGAGTTGTGTGGGACACAGACGCCGGGAAGTCCAGGAACAGGTTTGTAGCCGGTTGGGCAAGGAGCTTGGCGAGCTTCTAGTTCGCCATCACGCTTGGAGTTGAGAGGCACACAAACACCCGGGAGTCCAGGGACGGGCTTATATCCAGTAGGGCATGGAGCTTGGCGAGCCTTGAGCTCCATATCTCGCTTGGAGTTAAGAGGCACGCAGACACCGGGAAGTCCAGCGACTGGCTTGTAGCCGGTAGGGCATGGAGCCTGGCGTGTTATAGGATTGGGCGCGTCGTCCAGAGGCGCGGCTTGGGCAGCGAGTGCCGCGGAAGCAAGGGCGAAGATATGAGAGAATCGCATTTTTGACTAAGATTGAGGTCTCCTGAGTAGCAAATTGCTTAGGCGTTGTTGTTTGAATGAGCTCTGAGGGAATCTATCGAGGTGGGCAACTGCCAATTTTATACCTAATCAGAAGGTCTTCAACAGGGCTTGTTCCAGTAGGAATGCTATTGATGTTGTCATAGTTTCCCCAATTGCTTGGCTGTCTAGGACCGCCCTGGTCATTCCGATGTTCGCCCTTGAGCTGTGGCTCTGGGATTGGAGGACCTCCGAGATGCTTTATCTTATCAATCACATCTAGCGGGTAACAAACAAAATTGCCATCGTGGCATCCTGGTCTGGTAAGCATTTGGATCCTTTGCGGGCAGACCGAGACCAGAGGAATAGTGTTATAGGCGAAGGAACGAATTTGGTGGATCTTAAATGGAGACTCGTGAACACAAGACCCAGATGCAGGGACCAGTAGTCTCTCATTTTCAAACAGTTCCCAGTGCTCTTGTTGCCACAAATCTTGCCCCAGAATGATGTGGAGAGTTCTTCCAGGAACATGTAGATCGGTGGCAAAAGCAAAACCCGAGTTCGCTAGCAACAGGTCATATCTTTGTATTATGAAAAGACTGCGACTACGTAGCAAGGATATGTAAAGTTAGCACGTGGCTAACGCAGTTACTCTAGACTTATGACATATCTTCATTCCACGCACTCCCTCGCTTGTCTAGCCTAATTTGTCTTAATGAAGGGGAGCCTCATACGCGTTCAGGTGCTGTCAAAATTATATACGGTACGTATAGATCCACTAAGTCAAAACAGGAGAACTTGAAGGCAGCTCTTCAGCACATATTCCGGAGTAAAACTGAAGATCTTGTGACTTTACTTAGGTACATATACGTCCTCCATGAAGAAATATCCTGCCCCTAAAGCAAGAAACTAGCCTATACGGCGGTCATAATATGGTTTCAACAGGGCCTCTAATTCTGTATTCCCAGCTGCTTTTGCCTTCTCGTAAGGGTTATCTTCGAATCTCACTGCCGAGCCATTTGCAACCTCCGCGCATTCGAGTAGCGCCTTTGCACACTCTACATCTCCTAAGCGAACAGCGATATCCAGTGCTGTGTGGTCAAAGTCATTTCTTAGTTCCGGGTCAATCTCTGGAACTGCCAGTAGCCGACGAATCACGGCAACATTCTGCTTCTCCACTGCAGCTCCGAGAGCTGTATATCCTCGGCTGCATTTCTTGTTGATATCAAGCTTACCAGATGATAAAAGTGCTTCGGTTGCCTCCTCGTGGCCGAGATGAGCTGTGATTAAGAGAGGGGTGTTGCCATTGGCATCTGTCGCGTCAACGATTGTGTCGGGATATTCCAAAAGCACCTCGATAACACGTCCATGGCCCTGGTGAGCTGCCACTCCAAGTGGCCAACACGAGATATCTGGTTTGGGGTTCACCTGAGCGCCTGGTACCCCAAGCAAGAATTTGAGAGCCTCAACACATCCCTGAGCAGCGGCAAATGTTACAATTGTGTTCCCGCAATCGTGAGGGTCATAATTGATGTCCACCCCCCCTTCGACCATTGCTTTCAGCAATTCGATATCCCCGTTCAGCACAGCTAATTGGATAGGGCTCCACCCCAGCCGGTCTCCAATATAGCAGTCCACACCTGGCTGCTTAGCGAGGAAAAGGGTTGCCTCTCGCCTGTTTAGATAATTGGCCCGCCAGAGGGCCGTCGCACCACCCTTCGTGCAGACATTGAGTTTGAGATTGCCGGTCGCGACCAGCAGCTTGAGAGTCTCGACCTCGCCGTTCTCTGCCGCGTTATATAATGGCGTGAAGCCATTATCATCTTGGGCGTTGACATTGGCGCCATGTTCAAGGAGGAAGCGAACTGGTTCGACATGTCCGTAGCTACATGCCCCCATCAGTGGAGTACTGTGATCTTGACCTTCAGCATTGGCATCAAATAGGGGCGAGTTGACCAAGATCCAGAATATATCCGCCTTTTTCTGGCAACAGCTGCGGATGAATGGGGTCTTGTTGATCTGCGGGTGCTTTTCCGGGTTGAAGGCATCATCAACGGCAAGATGTATCTTGATCAGGTAGGCTTGGCCATCGTTCATCGCTCTATAGAGTGTTCGTTCTGCAAGCTTCTTAGACCGGCTTGTATTTCTGGCATTGATGGCCTCTAATGCCTTCCGATATGTGGCTTCCGGGCCGGATCTGTCGGCTGTCTTCACCAGTGCCGTGTTGCTTTCCCATATCTCGTCAAGTTCCATGCGGTGAAGGTTGTGTGAGTAGAGGTATGTGTCAAGGAGGTTGTACAAGCGGCGGTTGGTGCGGAGAAGAGCATTCAGGTCAGCTTCCTCCCATAGCCATTCTGCAATCTCCTTGAGGATTTCATTGGGAAAGTCGAGAAGTTCCATGACCATTTTCAAGCACTTTGTCTCGCCTTCATTCAAAGTATCCTACTCTGCTATAGAGAGGGAGTTTGAGATGCGTAATATATAATTCGGTAGTATTGCGGGGAGTGCCCATGACGTGGCAGCCCTGTCGAAAGCCTTGCAGGGATAATCGGCAAGCCTCGGGCGACGCCTTGCACCGCCTCATCCGTACAGTAACCTGCATTACTTGAACCATTGCGATACCTGCTGCCCTCTTTTGGACATTTATCCGGTTTTGTATACCATACCTGTAAATTACCGCAGTGAGTTTAGTTTACAGCTAACCCTTGTCGACTGGTAGAGTTGGGTGCAACATCAGTTGATGACATGGATGAATTTGGACTAGGCAGCTCGCACTCGGTTATATTGGTTGTCACAAGGTACTGCAAGGCCTCCCCTTGCGAAAGGAAAGTTAGGAGCTAGGAAGAGGGTTGATATAAATTGGGGGGATTCTCCAGCACGAGGTAAGCGAAGGTGATTTTTGTTGCGGGTTCTAGAAATCGGTACTATCTATTCGCCTTCCCAGTTCCAGCAAATTGATAACCATATTCGCCTACAGACATGACTCAATCATGGGATGTTATTGTAATTGGATCAGGTATTGGAGGCCTGACCGCCGCTACGCTTCTGGCTAAAGCAGCTAACAAGAGGGTACTCGTGCTGGAAAAGCATTTCGAACGCGGTGGTCTGACCCAAACTTTTCGACGTGATGGGGCTTCCTGGGACGTCGGTCTTCACTATGTTGGCGGATTGAACAAGGGCTCAAGAATCCGAACTCTGTTTGATTACATGTCAAATAGTGCGCTCGAGTGGAACAAAATGCCAGACGACTTTGAGCGTTTCATTTACCCTGATATCGAGTTTCTCGTTCCCTCGGATCGTCTTGAATATCAAAAGCGGCTCATAGACATCTACCCCGAGGAGGCGACAGCAATTCGTCGCTACTTCACAGATCTAGATGATATCTACAATTGGCATGTGAACGGCACAATTCAACTTGCTCTGCCTTGGCCGGCCAAAGACCTGACTAGCCTGTCACGCCGGCGTAAAAGCAAGAAGGCGACGCAAACGACCAAAGAATATTTCGATAGCCGCTTTAAGTCAGCCCAGCTCAAGCGCCTTCTCTCCACACAGTGGGGGGATTACGGAATGGTCCCTTCAGAGAGTGCGTTTGCAATTCACGCCCTCGTGACTCAGAGTTACATGGAT